GGCTCCTTGGCTGGTTTGGAGCAGGAGGAGCTTCTCAGCTTCTTACAGGAGCCACCCATGGGGCCCTTCTCCTGCTACCAAAAAACCCACCAAACCAAACCAGTACTGGAGGGAGAGAAATGAAAAGGAATTGTTCAGACCTGAAGATCCTTTGACATTATCCACCTCACAGAAATCTTCCTTATATTGCAAGGAGACTCGTATTTTGAAATGGAGGCCTCCTTTGATTGCCCTGATCTACCAGAGCAGATCAGACACCAGTAATTATCATCATCATCATCATATAATTTAATCTCCATTTTGCCTAAAAATTGTATTTATTTCCAATATTTATTTCAGAGATAGAGAAAAATCACCGCTTTGGGGTTTTTTTTTGCCTTTCTTGGGTTTACATGTTCAACTCTGTGTGTTAAGGGAGCACAATAAAGGAAATTTGCACACTAACATCTATAAATTATTAGTATAAAAGGGACTAAAGAGTAGCTGCTAATATTTCCTATGCAGTGCCCACAGGGAAGATTGGCCTTTGTGTATATTAAATATTCTTTTGAAAGAGAGAATCCATTGATAAGATGATGTGTGTACTTTGATAAGATGTGTGTGTATGTAGCTTTGGGGGTTATTTATTCAATGCTCAGAGTTTGTTTTTTTATTTTCTCTGAAGTATTACTGAGGTCTCCAAACATGTCAGAAGAAGTAGCTGGAATAGCCAAGTGTAGTTAATTGGGGAGGTTTAGCAGACGTCCCACTGGTGGCTCAAGAGGATGTATCTCCACATGGTCATACTTAAACCTGGTCTTCAACCTGCTTAAATCAGTTCATCACAAAGTGTCCATCACTTGCCACAGGTGACAAAATACCTTCTCAGCAAGTCCACAAGAAGGTTTAGGTGGGTAGAGCTGAACTTCTTGGACATTGTGACAGTCTCTCCAGGTCCGAGTAGAGGTCACTGCCAGGTGATCATGGAGAGAATGTAAATGGGAGCCATCTGATTAAATCTGACCTTTTGATGGTTAAAAGGTTTCAGTTACTTTTGCAAACCACCCCTTAGTCTTCATTAGCAAAAGCATAATCATCAATAACAGAAATTGATTTTATAAAATAATATTCTTATCTAGTTTATCTGCAGAAGCAAACCTACACTGTCACTATGATCCTGTGAGTGGCAGGGTTGTTTTTCAAGCTCAGTTTTCCTCTGTGTGGTCTCCCCACTTGTTAGAATCCAGGCTAGAGACCCCAGAACACTGGGAGCTCCCAAATAGGGTGGAGAGAGCCCTGGGAGAAATCCTGAGTTGGACTTGCAGTGCTTGGAGCTGCCAAAGGATCAGCATTTCTTAAGAGCCAATCCAAGAATTTGAGGATCCTTGGGGGTGGTGCTGATTCCAGCCTGGTCCAAGCTTTGGGTTTTGCCATTTTTTTCAGCTGGCAGTTGTGTCATCTGGTGGTCTTGGGTTCTTCTTTGTTGCTTATGCCTCTCTTTCCACCTCACAGTCTCGCCTGACCAGCCAGAACGAGGCCATGGCCCTTCAGTCCATCAGGAACATCAGAGGCAACTCCCACTGCGTGGACTGTGAAGCACAGAGTAAGTACCATGACCTGGCCTCACACAATCTGCACCAAACCACTTTTTCTTTACCAGGACCTGAGTGAACACCCACCACAGGCTTTGGCTTCCCTGGTGTTGGGCTCCCTCTGTTGTTTTGAGTCTTCTTGGCTTTCAGACTTTGTGATGTGAATTCATCTTTGGTAGGTGCTGTGTCAGATGCAGCCTCATTTGTTCCCCTTTTTTTTTCCCAGGACACTTTAAATGTCAGTATTTCTTCCCAGAAGAGGAAAAAGTAGTTTGCTGTCTTCCATCAGTTACTTCTGTTTTCCTCCAGTTATGGGTGGAGAGGGCACATGTGCCATGGTAATATTTTCAAAGGGGTAGAGCTTAATTGGTTGGTTTTTTGGTTTGGTGTTTTTAGGGTTGCTTGTCAGAAGAAACCAAAGTCATTGCTCATTATATCTGGATACTAGAGAACTGATTTGGGATTATTTTTTTTTTCACCCCTTTGTGTTTCTTCACCTTTTTATTGTTTAAAACATATACTTAGTGTTCAGAAAGGTCTTCTCAAGAACACTTTGAGCTGTGGTTCACCTCACTAACCCTGGCTGGGGTCATTATTCTGGTGCTCTTCAGTTCCAGGGGTTTGCAGCAAAGCCACAAAAAAGAAAGTACTCTTGCTCAAAAGCAATTAGTTGTAGAAGCAGAAGGATTGAGACCTTGTGCATTTTTATTTCTTTGGTATTTGAAAGTCAGAACTTTTCTTATGATTTTTACATGTGCTTAAAATGGAAAAATATTCATTTTGGGGGGAATACATTTTTTTTTTTTTTAAGACTTGCTGTTTAGGATTTTGACTGCTGGTCTGAACCATTCCAACCCACTTAAAATAAAATCTAAACCAAAGATTTTTTTTCCAGTCCATACTGGATGTTTAATCAGGAAAATGATTGTGCAAGAAAGCAGCACTTTTGTTCCCTCTTCCTTCAGCCAGGTTGTTTGGCATCCAGATTGTTTCATGGGTCAAGCTGGCCACACGTGCACGGTGCCAGCAGCAGGGACGTGCCAAGAACGTTTTGGTGGGAGAGGACAGGATGGGACTGCCCTTTTTGGCAACATTCAGCACTCTGTTATGTACCTTTTCGGGAGGAAAGGGGTGATTTTGGAATCTCAACTGGAACCTCTTAATGATTTGTATGCTTGGGGATGATTTAAACCCTCTTTGACTCCTCTTGCCATTTGGCCTGCCTAGTTTTAAGGCCACCACCATTCCTCTTGATAAAAATCGAGCTGTTTCCAAAGTGTTGTATCTTAAAATGCAAACACAGGCATGAGGTGAACTTCAGCCTGCTGCTTTTCCTGCCAGGCTCTTCTTTATCTCCTTCTCTCCCTTTCTGCCTTGGCTGGCCAAGCCCTCCCCCCCCACCCCAGGGCATTTAGCATCACAAACACCAGCTCTTGTGGAGTTTGCATCTTCACAAGCCAGATGTTTGGGAGCAAAGGAATAGAAGATGTTGCTGTCCCTCAGCTCTATTCAAGAGCCATCAATCTTCCACTTCAGAAGTCTCATTCTTCCTCTTTCTGGAGCTCTTTGGCTTTTAGCACTTCAACCCAGCACTTTGTTTCACCTGGGAATTTCTGCCCTGTTGGATGTTAAGCAGCACCAGCACCAGCTGAGTGCCCCTTCTGGCCGTTGGGCAATCTCAAGCTGAAGTTTTTCCAAGTCCTTTTCTTTTTTCAGCAGTCCCATCCCAGAGCAATGGATGAGGCAAAGTGGCCTTTAGGTGCTGGAGTTTTCGTTGAATCATAGAATGGTTCTCGTTGGAAAAGACCTTGAAGATCATCAAGTCATTAACCCAGCCCTGCCAAGGCCACCACGAAACTGTGTCCCTCAGCACCACATCTACTTTTCTTGCCCAAGAACATCTGGTTTAGTGTTGCAGAAGGAAACCACTGTTGCCTTTCCCCGGGGTGTGGGAGTCCCAGTGGTGACTTCTGACTGAACCACATTACCTAGGCAAACCCATCCCAATTTCTGCCCCCAAAGGCTTTCAGCTCTTCCAGTCTTAGTGTATGGAGAGCAGAGCAGAGGGTAGATGTGAGTCACTGTTTAAGATACCTGGAGGGTGTGGAGTATCATGTCTTTTCTGCTGTAAAGAAAACAGGGAGGGCTTAAAAGGGAGAGTCTCATCAAGGTTTTCCAGTCCAGAAGCCTAGGAGCTTGGTGTATCATAGATTTGAGAGCCAAACACTGAAGTAATAATTTGAGTGGCCCTGGGAAGCCTCCCAGACCCATCACAAGATTCAGTCTTATATTCAAAACAGAGAAGAAACTTAAACTTCTAAAGAAGCTTTTCCATCCTTTGCTGCAACTCTTGGAAGATGCCTTCACCCCCCTCTTTGCCATATAAATCAGTGATAACAAATTTCAAGCATGAGATTGAAAGAAGTGCTCAACTGCACAAGGATTCCATCATCTGGGAAGAGGAAGATGGAGCCAGGAGCAGTGAATTGCAAACAGGAACATCCCTGAGCATGTGGTTTCTAATAACTTGCCTTAATTCTTGGTGGGTAGCAACTTCTGTCATCTGGCTCACATCCCTTTGAGAACAAGTTTTCAAGTGCAAACACTGAAAGAGATGCCATGAGTGACATCATGGCAGTTTTTCCCAGAATACCTCCTCATTAGGAGGTATTGCTCCACATTCTCCAGATGTAACCAAGGTCAACAAGTCTGGTTTTCACTGGGTGTCTATAATGGGTTCAACATTCCCCTTTCCTAGATTGTCACCTTCACACCAGGCTGTGGGTTGTCAGGTGGTTGAAGTTTAAAATACTCTCTTGACAAAATGTCATGTAACTTTGAGGTTGTCACTTTGATGGGCTACTTCAGCATTGTCAGCTGGACATGGGGGAGTATTCAAACAAATTATTCATGGAAAGATACACTAGATGTGCTTCAAAAACACAGAGATGTTTGGCAGTGAGGGATCTTTAGCATCAGTCCTAGAATAATTGGAAGAACATCAATCAGTAGTTTTTCTCTTCCTTCCTTCTGAGTTTGTGCTTTGGGCATTTTTGTGAAGATGACCCTGGCCTTTCAGGTTGGGGACAGAGATTTCATTCCAGTCATGGGTTGTAAATTTTCAATGAGTATCTGCTGTGTTTGAGCTTTTACTGACAAATTAATATTTCGGGTTTGTATTGTGTTTTGAATATCCTACTGGTTGCCCCACTGGCAAGAGACTGAACTTGGGGGAGGTGACCTGAAGAAACGTGCAGGAAAGGAGTTGGTCATGGTTGTCTTGCTTGGAAAACATGTCAGGAGTTTGGTCTCAGCTTATTTTCTGGAGCTCTGCAGTGCCTGCTGAGTAGGCTAAAAATAGGCTAAAACTTGGTGTGGATGGAGGTTTTGAAACAAAAGAACTCTTTTTCTGCTCAAGTGAAATAAGGTAGGGGATTGTTCTGACTTGGAATATGTTTGGATTTCCAAAGACTGACTGAAAAATGTCAATCAGTGCCTTCCATGAAATGAACCAAAATTATCTGCTTTCCTTTCAGATCTTTTGTCCAAACATGGCAAAGAACGAAGAAAGTTACATAAAGTAGAAATGAATCTTTGGGTTAAATTTCCCCAAATGGAAGGGATCACTAGAAATTCCTTTTCTGTCAGCTCCAGATTTTATTTAAATTTGAATTAAAATTGCCTTCCCTCTCAATTAATCACCATCTTCCTGCTTGGCAGGTGTGATAGCCCACTGATTATTCGGGAGGCCCAGAAGAAGGTGGGAAGAAAAGATCTGACAGGAGGAGAGAGACAAAAGGCCACCAAAAATCCCTCCCATACGTCTTTCATTGTGTTTATTAAAATGAATATTTGTTGGAGAGAGGCAGATTCGTCCAAATCTAGATCCTTTTTTCCCTTGAAATTGGCTGCAAGTGGCTCTAGATCCCCAAGGAGGGGTTTGCTCACCAGGTGCCTCCTCTGCCTTTCTATCACCTTTGTTTCTTCTTTCCTCTCTAACTCATCTTTTTCTTTTGACTGAAGGTGACATGATCAAGGTGGAGAAATCTCAATCTCAGGAAGGCCAACCAACTCTTTGGGTTCTCATCATGGATGTTAAAAGTCCTCATCATCATGGATTCACTTTTTTTTTATGTGATAATGTGAAGCCATAAGGTGTTTGGGGGGGCGGGGGGGGGAGTTGGCTGTGAGAGCAGGACCTTACCTACCACTCCCAGCAATCAAATCTTTAGAGACCCCTCTCCACTGATTATTTTTAATCCTTGAGAGGGGTTGGCATCTCCACAGAGCAAACCTGGTGCTCTGGAAATGCTCCTCACTGTGTGTTTTGGACAGGACACCTGCACTTTTCTCCCCCAGAGCCGAACTCTTCGGCCACAAACATTCACTAGACAGTTTGTGCTGAGCTCACTGCTGGTGTCCCTTCTCCTGCAGACCCTGACTGGGCAAGCTTGAATCTGGGAGCCCTCATCTGTATCGAATGCTCAGGTATCCACCGGAACCTTGGCACCCACCTCTCGCGGGTGCGCTCGCTCGACCTGGACGACTGGCCCATCGAGCTCATCAAGGTGATGTCTTCCATCGGGAACGAGCTCGCCAACAGTGTCTGGGAGGAGAGCAGCCAAGGCCACATGAAACCTTCCTCAGACTCCACCAGGTAGGCTTCTCCCCTGCTCCATCCCACCCAGCACGGAGCAGGCACTGCGTTACCCCGCGCTTGGCCAGGAAACCCTCCGTCTGGTGTCACACCCAGGGCTGGTGGGGTGTGACAGTGCTTTACCACGTGGACTTTTGAAGTTCTCCCTCACAGTAAACCTAGTAGAAATCATGACTTATTTCTGTCTTCACTGCATGCCCAGAACGTGTGTCAAAGGGGGGAGGTGTCAAAAGTTGAGCCACCCCGTTGCTTCTTCACTGTTGTGAAGGTTTCCTCAGCAGCTCTGCAGTGTTTTTTCTTCAGTTGGAAACCTCCTGCCTGGTTGTTCCTCAGTCTGAATTGTCCTGTAATGTGTTCCTTTGTTTCTGTCAGCCACAAAGATCCTGGCTCTTGGACTATCACTTTGTGGTTAGATTAATAATCGGCCTTTGGTAGTTCAAAAATTTTGTCCCTGCCTGGCAGGTCTTTGGGTTCTCATGTGCTTGTTGAAAGTCCTCCTCATGGTGGACTTGCTTTCATTTTTTTATGTGGTACCTGGGAAGCCATCAAGTTCTGGGGGTGTTTCCTGTGAGATTAGGACCTTACCTACCAGTCATAGCTCAGCACAGTGAAAATCATCTTTCTGCCACGCGTCACCCTGCCCAAAACTGAAGGGTTTTTATGGTTAGGGCATCTGATCAGTGCCAAAGAGAGATGGCTTGAAAGTACTTCCCTGATTACAGTAGATTTGGGGTGGAAGAGCTGCTAGTTCTAACCAAGGAGTTGGCCTTGGGGGAGCAGAGTGACTTGGGAGGCTGTTTCAGCAGAGGGGAGGTCAGGCAGGACCTTCTGGACTGCCTTGCTCAGCTGAGCCAGCCTTTGAAGGGGTCTTCTGAAGTGCCTTGTGCTTGTCTAGGGGGGGCAGCCTGCAGCCCAAGCACTGCTGGGTCCCCAGGCAGCAACCAGCACGATGGGGTTGAGCTCCCAGGCAGAGAATCACCCGAGGGGGGATGACACTGTGTTCATGTTTATCTCTGGATCCTGCGTCTTTCAGTGTCAGGTCAGGTGGCAGTAGAACCTGGGAGCACAGAGAGACCTGGGCCACCTCCTGCAGGGGAGGAGTCAGTCTGTGCTGTTGTCTGTAATAAAATTGACTATTTCTTGTGGCATCATTTCGTTAGCACTGAAAAATGAATTTGTGGTGCCACCTTTGGTTCATCTTCGAGAATGAAGCCAGTACATTAATCAGGCTACTTAGATGAAGGACTATGCACAGGAAAGTGTTCAGGGAGACCAGCACAGAGAGTTGTTCCTCTGTAAACTGTGGTTCTGCTGTGTGAGTGTCTGTTATTAGGCAGCTAATGTCATGATTTCATCAGGTAGCTGGAAATTGCTGCTTTCAGCCATCAGTGTCACTTGAATCCAGAGATCTTGTGTTGCTGTACCTACAAGTCTGTGTTGCAGCTTGCTGCCAAGCTGAGCTGGAGATGTGCCTCCATCCCAGCTGCTTTTAAAAGGAAAAGGCATAGATCCAGTTAGATTTTTGTAAATATTCTGTTAGCATACATCTAATAAAGATACTGTAATGTAAACTCTACAATACAAGTGACCATGGTGACAACAGAGCCACCAGTGACATAACTGCACTTTTTTTTCTCTGGACTCTAGAACAAAAGGTATCAAGACTCATTTTCTAAATCTGCATTTTCCTCAGATGTCCAAGTGCACACTCATGTGATGGAAGAGCTCTTAGGAAGAGCAGATGGAAGGTTATGTGAAAGTTTTCCCTCCAAGCAGTTGAAACCTTTCTTTGCTACTCCTGTTTTTCCCACTGTTTGCAGCAAGGACTGAAGGGATATTTTCCACATAACTACCTGCTCTTTGGAAGCATGTGCCTCCTTCTGTACCCTGGTCTCTCCTAGTGTTATAATCCTTCTGCCCAAGATGTGGGAAGAAGTTCCAGTTCTTTAGCTCTGAGTCATGCATCCCTTTTTCTTGCTGCTGTTTGCACTTTTATCTGGGGAATCCTGCCACCAACACCACATCCAAACCACCCTTGAACACACCCAGGGATGGTGACTCCACCACCTCCCTGGGCAGCCTGTTCCAGTGTCTGCCCACTCTTGCTGTGAAAATGTTTTTCCTACTGTCCAGCCTAAACCTCCCTTGTTGCAGCTGGAAGCCCTTCCCTCTCGTTCTGTTGCTGATGACCTGTGAGAAGAGACCAGCACCAACCTCTCTACAATGACCTTTCAGGTGGTTGTAGAGACTGATGAGTCTCCCCTCAGCCTCCTCTTTCTCAATCTAAACATTCCCAGCTCCCTCAAGTGTTCTTCATCAGATTGATTCTCCAGGCCCTTCCCCAGCTCCGTTGCCTCTGTCCTGGCTCCAGCACCTCCAGATCTCTCTGGAATGGAGGTGCCCAAACCTGGACACAACACTCAGGTGTGGCCTCCCCAGTGCTGAGCACAGGGGGACAATCACCTCTCCTTCAGCTGGTCACACCATTTCTAACACAGGCCAGGATGCCGTGGGCTTCCTTGTCCACCTGGGCACACACTGGCTCATGTTCAGCCCCTTGTCAATGAGCACCCCCAGGTCCTTTCCCGCCAGACCCTTTCCAGCCACACTTCCCCAAGCCTGGAGCATTCCCTGGGGTTGTTGTGGCCCAAGTGCAGGACCCAGCACTTGGCCTTGTTGAATCCCAGACCACTGACATCAGCCCAAGGATCTGATCTACCCAAGTCTCTTGGTAGAACCTCCCTATCCTCGTGCAGATCTGCACTCCAGCTGTAGTCTAAAAGCAGTGATATGCAGAGGTTCATGCACTCAACATGCTCCTGCTTTGCTGAGTTCTCACCAGAACCCCATCAGATGGGAGAGGGAAGGACTCCCATGTCTCCTCCAAGTTTCTCCTGAACTTGTTCATATCCCCATTCCCTTCTGCACCCACACTTACTACATCTGCTCCCCTTGTCAGTTCCACTACATCTCTTCATTAATCATAGAATCATAGAATGGTTCAGGTTGGAAGGGGCCTTAAAGATCATTAGGTTCCAACCTCCCTGTATGGGCAGGGACACCTCCCACCAGACCAGGTTGCTCCAAGCCCCATCCAACCTGCCCTTCAACACCCCCAGGGCGCCACAACCTCTCTGGGCAACCTTCCTGCCCTCATGGTGAAGAATTTCTTCCAGATGTCTAACCTGAATCTCCCATCTTTCAGTTTAAAACCATCACCCCTTAATCCACCCTCCATGGCTTTCCTCGTTTGCTCAGGCCATGCCTGCAAACAGTGTTGGCAACACACGAGCAGAAGGTTTTTTAACCATCCCCCAGCTGATTCAGAGACTTAGCACAAAGCAGCAGTAGCAGACCTTAGATAAATACAACCTTCTCACCTGTTTCTTTATGACAGGCATGTCTCTCAACTCTTCTGTCTCAACTGTGCCACCCCCAAGTTGTCAGCACAATGGTGGACCCTCTGCTAGCAGGTGCTTGTAAAGGGGATCAGACATACATAGGTTTCACCATCTCATGTTGTGTCTTTCTGTTGGAGGTGAAGCCATCAGGGAAAACCCACAGGCTTTCTAAGGGCAAAAATAAGGGTTATTGACTGCTCCATAGATACTGAATCTCTTGGGCTGGGAGGCTTGAGGAGCACTCACGTGCTGGGCTACAGGAGCCTGGAAGTCTTGACACGGCTTCCAAAGCAGTCCCTTCAGCTTGGGAGAAGTCTGCAACCATCACTGGAGCTCTCCAGTGGCATCCCATGTGTTCCTGTTGAGTAGGGGGATGGATGGAAGACCAGTGCTTTGCAGGAGGGGTTGCCCAATGGCTGCTGTGAGCCCAGCATGCTTCAGGAGTCTGTCTCAGGAAAATTCCACCGTTTCTAAAACCAGAGCTATGCCAGGCTTTGAGCACAGCCTGCATTTTCATTTCTGTACACTGAAAAATAAGAACTTTCTCCACCTTAAACCACATCAGATATACCACCCTGCTGTCCTTTCCTAGTCCACTCAAATTCACTCAGAACTCTTCCCTGAAACAGATAAACCTGGAAGTGTGTTTTGAAGGTCAGAAAGGCTTTCAGGTTGGAGGGTGGGAACTCCAAGCCCACAGGCTTGGCAGCAAAAGGCATTACTGCTGCTTGTTTCATCAAGGATGCATTGCCCAGGTATGTCCTTTGATGTCCACATGTGCTAGGTCATGTCAAGCTTGAGAGGCAGCTGATGAAGTCGGCAGATCCTCCAGGTTGTTGGGTACCTCTGGATCAAAGGCAACACCTTGGCTGCCTCCAGCATCCCTGGAGAAGGCAGCAGGGGTTGTGGAATCCCCAAAGAAGCAGCTTGGAGCTTGAGGCAAAGCTCAGACTGAGGGTTTTGGTGTGACTCTGGGGAGGAGAGAGGAATAAACACCAGCTCCCCATGAGCACCAGGAGTTGGAGAAGCAGCAGAAGACCCCAGTGTCGGCAAATAGGTGTGTGTGGAAGGGAGGGGGGACCAGCTGGCCTCCCAGCCCGGGTGGCCCAGGCTCCTTGATGAGGTCAGCTCTGGAAGACTGCTAATTGGTTCCAGCAATTACCAGCAGCCCTGAGAACTGCTGCTCAAACTTGGGGAGCCCTGTGACAAATTGAAGCTGACTGCTGGTGAAGGAGTATCGACTTCCCATTTCTGAACAGGAGGATCATTAGTCAGGAAAAGCATCTTTTAATTACTTGCAGGAAGGGAATGAGGGAAAAAAAGGAGAAAAAGGGAAGAAGATCTTTCATTATGGATCCTGCAACAGCTGCCTTTTTTTTGTTTGTTTGTTTCTTTCAGGTGTGTTCAATATTACATTTATTGCCTTGGAGGGGAGGGGGTGAGTAAGGAGAGTTTGGCAGCACCCCTCCCCCCTTCAATAATGGGGATTTAATTTGGAGTGAGAAGTCAAATGAGAGTAAATCAATGTTGTGACAATTAACTGGGTCTGGGGATGAGATCAGGATTTTCCCCTCTTAATTGCTATTGATACTGTTTAAG